CCGTTCCTCTTTTTAAAGTTATAACTCATATATGGTGGAATTAGACAAATTCTTTAAAAAGAAGAACAGTTAATAAAATTTAATACACCGTATTTTTTGCTATTAGTATATAGTTAGAAATTAAGTTATTTATAAATCAAAAGATCTATAAATTCTTTAACAAAAGTTTTCTTTCCACAAACTTTAATTGCATTATTCTCAAAACAGCATTATTTGTTGATTTTATTATAATAACTCAAGAACGGTTGAAGATATCGATTATATTCTTTTTGAAATAAAGTTAATAAATCTTTCCGTAAACTAAACTTACTTTCGTATACATAAAAAAATAATTTTTTTAATTCCGCTTTAACAGCTAGCAAATAACATTTATATACTTTTCAAGATTTTTTTGTTTTTGACCGCCATTGTTCTTATCTTGATGTTTTTTTTTCTGTTTAGATTCAGTCAATAGAGAGGAATCTTTGACAAAATGATACCAAAAAATTGAAAATTCCAATTCCTTTATCGGTGGTAAAATCATCATAACAATTCGCAAATGACATTATTTTTAGTTATCTATGTATCTCTCTCTCAAATATTCATATTTTTTGAACTTTTGCATCTGATTTTGTTTAATAAAGATCTTAAAGACATACTATAAAGAAAATTTATATGCGATTATATTCGTTTGTCCTACTATAGAGTATATCTAGAGTGCATTTCGTTTCTTGCACGATGCGTATATGTAGAAGCATAAAGCTAAAACTCCATGTATGCGGCGCAAATTTCTTTCAAGTGGCCAATAAAGCGCATGGTAATTATTAGATTTAATCGATTTAATAATGTTATCATGGCCATCAACATCATATCTGCCAGTCTCCATGACGAAAACAGTCTTTAATTAATGCGAAAATCGTTTTTTTTCCTACCATAAACTCCGAACTCCGAAATTATTTTCTCTTTACTTGGCAGTATACACAGTATATACCTGTACTAATTTCTAGTTATGCTCGAGCCGATGCCGACCATGTCGTTATCGTTCTGCTTATTTCTTCTTTCCTACACTCAAGGAAAGAAGACTCTAATCTTCTTGCCTACACTGTTACATGGAGCGCGGAAAGGCGGCACGGTATAGTGACAAGTTCACATTTGTATGCATTTTCTTAAATGTATTAACTTATTTCTATGCACATTTTATCAATAATCTTATTTTTTCAACGAATCTGTTTAATAATAGCATTTAAATCTATTAATTTCATTAAAAAGTGCATAGTAACGTCAACTAGTCCGTGCCGCTTTTCCTCGCAGTTTCTGCTCCATGTAAAGAGATGTCCTCTTATTTTGCTATAATAGATGTTTATTTGGACTTGACTACATTGGGCGCATTCAACAGTTGAGTGAGCGCTCGCTATTATTGGTGTATTCTTCCAGATCTAAAATTCTGATTGGATGATCTAAAAGAATACACCAATAATAGCGAGCGCTCACTCAACTGTTGATTAAATAAATATTTATCATGGACTGATTTATCATGGTTGATTAAATAAATATTTATCATAAATATTAAATCATTAGGAAGATTCGAACCAAAAAATCGTGGACATTACCAACACGATCGTGGACGTTGGCTACATAGTTCAATGTCCACGTTTTGTGGACATAGAGGCGCTTCAAAATAAAGTAAGCAAGTAGCTAAATCCCGGGCATGGCCATATATGTAATTACATATATGGCTCTCGCAGTCTTCTCTCTGATATTAAACAACGTTAAATTCAATTGATATTATATAACATCCTAATTTATTTATTGCCTCTTTGGCAGTTTTTTTATTTATATTTTTATATGATAATTTTCAATAGAGTAGGTCATTATTGTTTTTAACTTATACAATTAGTTTATTTCCATGATTAAGAATTCTGATTAATTTCTTGTAATATAACAAAGTAATAATTACCATATCTGTTTAATTAATCTAATTTTATTTTACTATCGAAATAACGAAAAACATTGATCAAGCTGTGAATAATTAGTATGGCTGTACTAAAATTAAGATGTTTAGTATAAGTACTTTTACTTGCAAGTTGTAAATTTATATCGTTACGTAAAAAAATTATGCTACAAAATGTCTTTATAAATACAATTGCCGAGTATAACAATGTTAAATTAAATCATATACAGTTAAATAAAATAAATTATTTACATTTGACTCTCTCTCTTTGAGTTCAATTATAACTTTTAGTTTTATATCTTTTATAAGCGTAATTATGCTGATTGATAGCTTTATCTATATTATCTCACAGACTCCTGAAAAAGATGCAACTCAAATTGCATTACATGATGTATTATAGGATCAGACAATAAGTAATGTGCACATATATATTTTCCAACCAAAAAGATATATCCAAAGCATACATACAAAATACATCATAAATTGTCATTAGTTTTGACTGCGTAGAATAATAGTTAGATTATATTATAAATCAAATATAGTGAATATAATTTCTTGAAGTCAATGTAATTATTTCATCATTACGGTATACATGCGCAAAAGAGATATACAATGCTGACATATTCTTTAGTACAACAATTAGGTATAAGTTCGTAAGATATATTAATAACATTTGATTATAATAATGCTCAGAGAAGCCAATTTTGTACTAATTAAATATATAATATGCTTATAAATGCATTCCATTACAATTTCATCAAGAAATATTAACGTATAATTTTGTTTTCCTTGCCAGCTTTACGAATCTTTCAATAAATAATTTATAATAATGTGCACTATTAAAACTTATTCTTAATTCATCATGTATTTAAATATCTTATGTGTCTCATGTATCTGTTCAGATTCTGAAATATATTTATTCTTGTGAAATAAAAACAGGAATATTTATTAAAACGGAGTAGTTTTCGGATCTTGAGAAAGTAAAAGTAAAATTATCATTGCCATATATATTTGTATTGATATCTTTATCTATAGTTCACAACATAAATATTTAATGTGCTATGTATTAAATACTACGTACAGATTGCTATAATATAAATTGTAAAAATGTAATTTTTTAATTTGCTTATAGCAGTAATGATATTTTCATCTTACAAAAAGGCCATAAATAATGATACCAATAGCCAATACATGCAATCATAAATATCTTTTGGTAATTTTAGAATATAAATTTGGTTACATATAGGCCTTTTTTGATGACATTAATATATGTTTTATATAATTATTATCTTATACATCACACACACACGCACGCACGCACGCACACACGCACGCACGCACACACACACACACACACACACATAAAATTGTTTTAGATAATTAAATGTAAATCACATCAAATCAATTTAATTGACACATCAGCGTCCATGAGCCACATTAGAATAGAATTTTGATCATTAGTGCACATTACGTACATTACAGTATATAATACATATTAAACAAATATAAAATCGAAGTGTCGATCCTCTCCCGCTTTATCACTTCCGATAAATTAATACATTACTTAATACAATTATTTCACGTACTGTATAAAGTGGGAGGTAAGACTTTAGCTAAATTTGATGATATAATTAAAGTTGATTTATACTATAAGCATACTTAAATAAATGTAACAGTTTCTACAATAAAAATAAATAAAACCTCACAAGAATTGGTTTAAAATAATATTTCATTATGCATAGAAAGTAAAACTATTACGTATGTGCAAAAATAAAAATACATAGTTATACATACACACCCGCGCGCGCACGTGTATGTGTGTTTAAAGTATCATATATAGAGGGTGATTCAAAATAATCTTTTGTTCTTAAAAGGACATCTTGGTTATATTCTGAGACGATTTTTCTTTTAGCTAAAGTTCGTCCTAAGCTTAGTTTTTAAATTATAAAGAGAAACAGCATATCACAAATCAAGTATAGAAAGCAAGTAAGAGCGCGCTCACTGATGCGAAGTCTTATGCGCTCACAGTGTTAGACTGCTGTCTAACAGTTCTATGATAATACACATGCCTAAAATAATGCATTCGAATTCTCTCTCTCTCTCTCTCTCTCTCTCTCTCTCTCTCTCTCTCTCTCTCTCTCTTTATTACTACTCTCTCTCTCTCATTCTTATCCTCATTCACTTACTCATTTATCTACGTTAATTATTACTAACTTTAATTTGAAAATGGTATCGAAGCATTTGCTTTGTACGATCCTAATAAAAACTAAACAATTTTTTGTTAGTACAAATCAAACAAAATAATAGCGCAAAGTCGACATAAGTATTTACTAATCGCATTTAAGAAACAGATGTAACACTTTTCTTATAAGAAACGCGACTGTGCTTCTTGACATTGAACCAGTTATTATAATAACATGAAATAAAAATCAAGATCAATTACGAGTTAAAGATTATGAACTATTAAACACATTATAGAGATTCGATAATTTCAATCTCCAACTCCTGGAAAAAGACAGATAAATGTCGGGTTATTGTCCAAAACAGAAATTTATTGCAATGAATTTCTATAACAAATGTAACATTTTGCGCAGATATCAGATTAAAGTTAAAACTATTAAATATATTTAAAGAGCGTAGATGTGTGTGTGTGTGTGTGTGTGTGTGACAGAATTCGAATATATTGGCATGTGTACTATCGTTGATTGTTGTTCACTGCGGGCGCGAACACGTAAGGCCTTGCATGCATCGCTATCTCTGTCTATCTTCTGTACTTGACTTGTGATAAACTATCTCTCTTTATAATTTAAAAACTAAGCTTAGGACAAATTTTTGCCAAAGGAAAAATCATTTCAGAATACGGCCAAGAATATGTCCCTTTAAGGACAAAAGGTTAGTTTGATATTATCATCCTGTATAATAATAATAATAATTACATGTATATAAAATATTAAGCTGGAAAATATGTTACTTTTGAATTAAATCTATCAGAAATGTATTTTAAAAAATGATATAACTTCATTCATATATTTTACGAGAATTTGTAAATAAAGACTTTATTAATGTTTCATGATTTTAATGATGTATAACATTTTCGTCTTACAATAATCCTATATTTATTACGTGTATAAGATTATTTTAGCTAATAAATACATCAATTGTCACTTGTTACCTCATGACGCAACATGCGCGAAATTAAGTTGTACAAAGTAAGGGTGTTCAGATTAAAATGAAGAGCAGAAGTAAGGTCAATTCAAATCGGAGAAGGATGAAGCGGTGGACAGATAAGCCCCAGCCCCTAGCAGCACCCACCACCCTGCGCACTACCTTGTCCACCAGTTCCTGCTAAACCTCCAGGACTTGTTGGCGAATGTTGTGGTCCAATCTTAATACCATTTGCCTGGATGCAATTCACAATTGTTATATTGTTGTTAAAATTTAACCAGTTTTTCAAAGCATATATTTGTAATACGTTCTCTTATATCACAAATGTATCCAGAAAATAATATAAATACATATACATAAAGTAAAAAACAATAAAAAATAAATGTGTAATTATATGTTATCATTACATATTTATCTGTTACTTCTTATATTTGTTCACAACAATATGAAATAAATAGACGGACATCTACATATTTTATTATTATATCTATATATTAATTATATAATTAATATAAAATATTTTTTTTAATATTATTAAACAGTAATAAATTTATTTATAATAATATATCAGATAAAAATAATGATAAAAGTATAAAATTTAAGGACGCGCGATTTTATTCTTCATTCATATTTTACGTACATATATAGATTAAAAGAATTAATGTTATACCTCATTATTAATGTCAAAGACACCTTCCTGTATTTTCTCGTAAATTTCTTTTGCAGTATTGATGAATGCTTCTTCTACATTGGCTGCAGTCTTAGCACTGGTCTCCATAAAGACAAGACCATGCTCTCGTGCAAAAGCCTCACCTTCTTCTCTTCTTACTTCTCTTCGACTATCTAGATCACTTTTGTTGCCAATTAACATGATAACCATATTGGAATTTGAATGTTGCCTTGCATCCTCCAGCCATGTTGTAAGATGATTAAAAGTTTCCCTACGTGTAATGTCATATACCAATAGAGCTCCGGCTGCTCCACGGTAATATGACCTTGTTATAGAACGAAATGCCTCTTGACCTGCCTAAAAGTGTAAATTAAGAAAACAATTAGTAATAAAAAATTCCTTCTAATTATGAAAAATTAAAAGAAAAAGCATAGATAATGATAATTAATGAAAGTCAAAAAGTATAGAATTATCAGAATTTTATCTTAGCAAAACTGAAAATAAAGAAAATATAATTTTTCATAGAATGATTAAAAGTCTCTTCAGAGATACGAATTTATATAAAATAGAATATAAATTTAAAACTATATAAGTGTCTTTATGTGAAATAGCAAATTAGTAAAATAAATATCTATTATTAACACAAGTAATTAATAAGAGAATCATGTAGTTTGTATTAATAGCAAATATCAGTAATATGAAGCTTGACACTTTAATATAAGAATGTAATACGAATTAATTAAATAATTACAGTGTCCCAGATCTGTAGTTTAATTTGCTTGCTATCAATGGTAATCATACGAGCACCAAACTCAACTCCTATTGTTAAGTCATGGACTGGCTGAAATCTCTTATCCGTAAACTGAAGAAGAAGACAAGACTTTCCAACTCCTATATAAACATTTTTTTCATTGTATTCGTATATTATAATAATTATTAATTATTAAGTTATAATAAAGTCTCATTATATATTTAATTAAATACAAAATTTTCCTACATACATGTTATTTTATTTTGACACTTACACATTCTTGTATAATATTATATATTTGCAATATATTGTGCTATATATTTTTGAACTTTATATAGACTTTATATATGTTTAACATAGTAACATGCATTTATAATAATTTATTAATTTAACTATAGAAATCAAATTGAAACAATACTCATACAAATGATAATAGATATAATACACAATATATGCAAGAGAAGCATTTAGCATCAGGTATAATACTACTATAAAACACATACAATATATAACATGCAAGCTATTTATAGATGTTAACATGGAAATTGATAGAAAAGTTTGTCAAGTCGCACAGAGTCTTACTCGATAGTTATAAAAACAGCATGTAACAATAAATCAAGTAGATATGACACGAGATAAGATTTACTTAAAATCCATCGCAACAACTATATGCAGACAAGCAACGAATATATTTAAAGGAAATAAATGCATGTTAACGGAATTTCTTTTGTCGGTGCATCCATCTCCGGAAAAAAAATTTATTCTTGTGTTTGCGAATCAGCAATATCGTCACGCATCACATAAACGAAAACAAAGGGCCCTGTCACGGATGACGTATAGAAGATAACATGGGAGGAGCAAAGGTCCCGTATTTTTACAGTGGTACCTCGCACGCACATTACGTTATTTACCTGTGTCCCCGATAATGATATACTTGAACAGGTACGCGTACGACATTTCGGCGATACGCGAGGCTGACGAGACGCGCAGACAATCGTTCACAACAACACCGAGAGATACCAGAAAGGAAACAGAAGTAATAGAACTCCCTTCCTCTATGACCGTCTCTTCTACTTCAGCATGACGTCACGAAGGCACTTCGGCAAGCCTCGGATTGCCTCGCAGCCCTTTCGACTTTCCGATAAACCCGACTGTCCCGACTTCACCCTCCCCCGACTAGATATAGATTGAGATTGCATTGGTTTCGCGACCATTCGCGACCATTCGCGACACGTCGTCGCTTAAAGGATACCGCACTGACTTATAAAGATGCCTTTTCATAAACTTGCATAGAAATCCTATTATAGGACCCTGTAGCCACATAATTATATGCATATAGAAAATTATTCTTTTACATTCATCCTCATGACAGAAATATGGAGAGCTATAATAATACACAAAATGCATAGCCTACCATATATTAAGCATAACATAAAATCACCTAACCAATAAGCGGTTGAAACATTACGGTACCACCAATGCTAATACTGTTCCCAAGACACAATTTCAACCTATCAAAAGCTGTGTATTTCGGTGCATCCGATTTCTGATAATTGTGTTTCGCTATCGTTATTCCCTCCCATTGGCTTGGGCTTTATCTTTGTTCAGTTTATTTTCGCCAACTTTTCAAACTGACTTTTCATGCTAGAGGCCTTTGCACGCGTAAAAAAGCGTTAACCGCAACCGTAATTTTCGTACAATCAGATGGAGCAATGCAAGTGAAATTCCGTAATCGTAATTTTAAAGTTAGTCGTAAAAATTTCGTCATGTTGGAATTTTACATTTAACGCGCGCCTTAATGCCAACCAATAGGAAAGCTATCAGGTTATTTATACACTATTTTGGCACTGGCGGTCGCAGTTTTCGTTTCTGATGCTTGGAAAAGAGTTAATTCGGGTCAAACAACAAAAGAAGTTACAACCTAGACAGTACGGCCGCTTGCAATATTTCGAATCCATTTTAAATGTCATACGACATTTTAAATTTCGTTCCTGTTTGACCGAAAAGTAACGAGACGCATGCGCATATAAGATCGAAATGCATGTAAATAGAAGACATGACAATTGTAAGCTGCGCACAATGGAGGAACAGATATTAAAATATTAACCTATCAGATACCAGTTACACCGGTATACACGATTCTGATAGGTTAATATTTTAATATCTGTTCCTCCATTGTGCGCAGTCCTAAGCTGTGACAGATTTCCTAACCTCAATAGTCGGCAACTTTAACGCTTAATATCTCGGTTCGCGGGGCAGAGCGATGCTTATTTCTGTCAGATTCTTTCGTCTTATAGAAAAACGCGTCGAATGAGTATAATTTAATCGATTTTTGAGAGGATCCATTGCACCTTTACCTTTTTATGATTTAGAACATTGAACTCATCCTTTGCTTTTTGAGCTGTGTGTGTTGTATAGTAATAAATGGACGATATTGTACATTTTTATATAATCAGCATGATTATCACAGAATATAGCAATCGTTTTTCATTTAAACAATTGTGATAGTCACTGCTGTGATTTAAATATTTTAAATTCTATTTTTTAGGTCTCAGGTCCGACATTTATCGAAGGATTCATGAAACGATATTATAGGCAGTTTAGAGAAAAACTTTCTGTGTACAAATCATGTATAAAACGCATCAACAGAGGATACTATCTGCATTGTTGTATTATAAGAGAATCATAAGGAGGATAACAAATACCTCGATGCGAAAAAATCCGCATTATGTACTGAGCTACGTTTTCCTTGAATATCTATATCGCAGATTTCAAAGATTGTTCAAACAAAATTTCGAATGGGTCACATTGCCAGATGCAGTTTTAAAACGCATGCTGGATGATCTGGAAATAATATGGAACGAATACGTCGATTGTCATTCTTGTGCAATAGTAAATGTGGAGGAAAAATTATCAAGTTCCTGGTTCAATGTTTGCTCAATGATGTCAATGACAAAATATAAATTAATGATTATATCGGTGTCGGATATCGACAAGAACACTATCCTAATCTCTGAAATGACAAAGCACAATCTGCGAAACGCTTTTCACTGCGAGCAATTGGATAATACGTGTTTTATACGTAAGTATTTGCCAGGTTACCAAGATTCTTAATTTGAATCTTAAACTGTTTACATCTTTTAAAATACCTTTGGTGTTACCAAACTCAATAAAAGTAATATTGTAACATAAAAGTTAACATTTGTTCTACAAATGCAATTAATATTAAAGCAACAGTTTGCAAAGTAATAAAAGTATATATCTACATTTTACACGAAATAATTCGAGATAATTCGCGTTTTTATTGAATTATACTTTTTTCACGATTCTCAAACTTATGGATGATTGATTAACGTGCAAAATTGTCAGGTGCTCAAAAGTTAATGCAATTATATTATATAAACTTATATTTTCAGTACCATTGGAAGACGATGTGATTGAGTTTGCATCCGAGGCGAGAATATCTTTAGTTGCCAATCCGTACGATTGCGCGACCGAAACGCTGGATATCATGTTACAAAATTACTTTTTGCAACCCCGATTTTTGCACGTGAATGACATGTTTAAGATCGACGCAAAGGAACATGCCCAAGATCGATTTTACTCGTTTGGTTTTGCTGGAATCTCCATGATGTATTTTATAGTTCAAGCTCTGAAAGTAAATCGTAACGGGTACAGCAATAACGTTAACAGTTGTTACGTTGTACGTGGAGAGTCAGCGCTTATTCAGGAAGCACAAGTCCATGATTATATTTCTCTGGAATGTGTTTGCTCACTTCCCGATTCATTTTTACAGCAAAACAGAGTGATACCAAATCACAAATATCCGTCAGCTCTAATGGAACCTATGGAATATTTAGAATCTTGCATTACACCATTTTTAAAAAAGGGTACACAATTTTTTATATTTCTTTATTTACCAAGATTACAATAATCAGTTCGCTAATGATCATTACTATTTACCTTCTCATTTTTTGCCGTTTTGTATAGATCTTGCAAATGTTCGATTGAACATAAAACCGGTATTTCTTGTGAAAGGGCCACGGGGTTGTGGTAAACACGAATTAGTTCGAGCAACGTCTAAAAAAATGGGATTGAACTTCCTCTGTGTTGACTTTGTAGAAGTGCAGACTTTGACGTCGGCACAGACCGAAGCTAAGCTTCGCATAACGCTACAAAATGCACAAAAATGCGTGCCATGTATGCTATATTTAAATAATATTCAAGTGCGTGAAAGAGTAACATTATATCAAATTATGCAATGTCTTGTGTTTTTCCTTTCGATCTTCTGAGTTAAGCGTTTACTTTTATGCAGGTATTCGGTAAAACTGCCGAGGGTCAAAAAGACGAAAGGGTCATATCCTTCTTCTCGACAGAGATCGCCGCGTTATACAACAGACGCCACAAATTTCCTCTCATTATCGTAGCTGCGTCGGATGAGACTGACATGCCTGCAGAATTACAACGGGTCTTTATCGAGACGATTCACATGAAACATTTAAATCAGAGCAAACGAGCGGAACTGATATCTTGGTTGCTGTTTAACAGAAATCTAAAGACTATTGCGGACCTATCAAAAGTAGCTTGTCTTTGCTCGGATTTTAAATTCACGGATCTGTTAGCGTTGTCATTACACGCAACCAAATTTCGATGCAAATCAACGTTGCACGCAAATCAGAAATGCACGCTTACTTTGGAACAAGAAGATTTCGCTCGAGCTTACGGTACAATACTTGTTCTACAATCGATATTACTAGTAAGATTAAAAGAATTTATTCGAATTTTAAGCTCTTTTTTTTCTTATATTTTTATTTTATTTTATTTAAATTTTTTCATGTAACAGATCGAGATCTGGTCTTGCTGAAGTTCGAAGTGTAGTATTTCGTTTCTCGTGCGAGTTCTTACGAATAGTATGTAATAGAAAAGTATTATTTTTTTTAGAATATATGCAGTCCGTGTACTCCGATAGTAAAGGTGCTCCACGCGTGCCGGAAGTCCATTGGGAGGACATAGGCGGGTTAACTGACTTGAAACACGAGATTATTCGCAGAATTCAATTGCCTCTATTGAATGCTTTCGGATTCGGACAATCTGGATTACTATTATATGGCCCACCTGGCACTGGAAAGACTCTTCTCGCTAAAGCAGTGGCGACGGAATATCAGATGCACTTTTTGTCAATTAAAGGTCCGGAAGTGCTAAATATGTACGTCGGTCAAAGCGAGAAGAACGTAAGGCAAAGTATGTTGTTTAGAAGAAACATAAGAAAACTGTGATAAAAAATATGTAACAAAGAATTATTTGCTTCTACAGTCAAGTTGCAAATAAACACATAATTTTCTCATTGTTCTATAGTTTTCAAGCGTGCGCGCTCCGCGACCCCTTGCATCGTCTTTTTCGACGAACTGGACTCGTTGACACCCAACCGAGGTAGAAGCGGGGACAGCGGTGGTGTAATGGATCGCGTGGTCTCTCAATTACTGGCCGAGATGGACGGTCTCGAGGAGTCCGGCAGCATATTTATCATAGGAGCCACGAACAGGCCCGATCTCATAGATCCCGCGCTACTCCGACCGGGAAGATTTGACAAAATGCTCTACGTCGGTATCCACTCCGATCACGCATCCAAGCTCAGTATGTTGAAAGCACAGACACGTAAATTCATGTTTCAAGAAAATGGACGGGAGTTGGAACGTATCGCGGAACGATTGCCCGACAATGTCACTGGGGCAGATTTGTACTCGGTCTCTTCCAATGCATGGCTCAATGCCGTACGCGAGGTACTTGCAAAGCATCAGGAAACTGAGAGACTTAATAAGGATTATTCCGTCGAAGAGGAAGGTGTAATTAAAGACAACGTTATTGTAGAATTGCGCCATTTTTCCAATGCTATTTGTAACTTGGTACCTTCAGTTACTGATGAAGAAATAAAAAGATATAATGAAATGCGAGTAGAGTTATCATCGTTGTAATTCCGGAATCGTTTCTCGGGATGTAGTAAAAATGTATTTTTATCTTACAATTTTCGAGATTTTATAAATACGATGGCTCTGTGATGATATTATGTGATAATACTGAGAAAGATTACATCTTAACATTTTTCATATATGTAAATTCTGATATTTAAAAAATTCTGAGAAATTATGTGTCAGATTCTGAGAAAAATATTTATCAACAGAGTAACCGCAGTCAAAATGATTATCTGCGGTGATAAACTTCAATGCGTTTATAATGAATTTTGTGTTATACCAAAGTTTTTAATTCTTATAAAACATGTTGTATATTAAATAGAATGTATCTAATAGTTTCCTTGTAAAATAATACAATTTCGTGAATAAAACGCGCGTGTTATAAACGACATGTTATTTTATTTCGAGATGTAAAACAATTTTTTACAGCGAATAATTAAAACGAAGAAAGAGAGTCAATCTACGCTCGTTTGTATTATTATCTTCGATTGCGTGTCATATCAATTGATGTTTCTCCGCGTCAAATTCATGTCAAATGTAAGCGCGCGGTGAGAAGCGCAAAAGTATTGGAACCCTTGTCCCGTTTTTTCCAAGTACCGGTACGAGATATAGGTATACCTCGAGCGCTTTCCACGTGCGCGCGTTCAATACATTATACAGTACAGGACGACCAGAATATACAATGTAGAAAAATAGGACACCTAATTTCACCGGATGCACCCGTGCGGCGGACATCGATCCGAAGTATGAAGGCTAAAAATTCCTCTCAGGTGTGAAGCGATACTGCGACTGATACGATTAGGTAGGTGCACAATAGAAAGCGAATTAAAAGTATCTCGGGTGCATCGGTTCTCATATCGCACGATAATTTTCGGTACTGGCGATTCTCTCGAAAATGCTACGGTCGTTACTCGAGTTTGCAGGATGAATTGTGCCCGCTTTTTGTAACAGCGCGACGCTCCGCAAAACGCATCTCCACAATAAGGAAGAAATTCAACGAGAGCATGAATATCATATCTAAATATACAATAATTATACTACACGATAGTTCGTCGTGTGCGTGTGTGTGTGTGTGTATGCGTGCGTGCGTGCGAATCGCGTCAAAAAGACCGTTAAACGCGTTTAACAAGCGACACATCCGATAACATTTTTCGGTCGATCATATAGTATACCTTTGGTATAATCGCGAGGTAGTAATTATAACTTTTCGTCGTGCAACTGTCGCGCGAAACAAACGCAGAACGGTTACATCGTCGCGGCCGTTTTAGAATTGATCTGCAAAGCCTCCTTGTCGTCGGCACAACGAATGATCGCGTTTGTAAACTGGCAAAGCCACGCAGCAAGAACTCCACTATCGCTCTTATCTCACTGTTAAGATTTGCCCTATCACAGGGCATAAAACGATTATGCTTGAGCATCTACCGCAAGGCGTAAATTAATGTAAAACGATACGCTTGCTGTATCTTGTGTTACGGCACTATTCTCGATTCGACGTATGCGATCACACACGTACAACTTTAATTCCAAGTTATCATCGTCTATTATAATTATTTTCGTTTTCGAGTATTTTCCATTGTAATCCATAACATATACGCTCTTATCCGTTACTCTCTGATTGAATCGTGCGCGCGAGTGGTCTTGAGATCGTTGAGAGCTGTTGATAATCAATACGTTGCTTTTCGGTTTCGAATTCGATATCGACCTTTTTTCTTCCTTTCCTCTACACCGATACTCAGCGCAGCGAGGTGTATCACACATACGCGTAATTTGTGTAAGCGTATGTTACGAGTGAAAAAACAAAAAGCTCCGCGTAGATTTGGATCTAGGAGATCCAATTAATCTTGCGCGCATTACTCTCTAACTCTCTAAGAGACTAACGCGTCTACACTAGTAATTTATGGCGTGACAAGGCGTAGTTCTCTCAATTAGAATAAAAAATCACGAATGTGGATTAACAATTTTATATACCTAAATCGTTATTTTGTTGCTTTTATCCTCTCCGAGGTAGTGCGTGTAAATCACACGGCATTAACATGTGTGGAGGACATTTTACTTTTTAATACATAATATATATTAAATAGCGATATACATACATATATGTGTATATAACTACTTTAATTTGACGATGGAACGGTAGATTAGGGATTACAAAATTAGATGCCAGGCATTTTTTTGTCTAACGTACTTTCGATTAGTACTATCGTTATACATTTATGCAATGAAATGATCTAGCGAACCGATGCTCTAGAATTATTATATTTTAAACGGACGTATCTACATGCGCGCGCGCGGATGTGTATGTGTGCGTGCGTGCGTGCGTGCGTGCGCTCGTTACGTCGGTGAAACAGGTGAAACATTGTATTGCCTTGGATTGAATAATGTCATAATTTCTAAGCGCGTTTTCGATCCCGGAACAACGCGACATTTCGGATCGCGCGTTCGTTGTGTCGTAAGATATTTTATATAAGAGATATATACATACATACATATATGTGTGTGTGTGTGTGTGTGTGTGTGTATAAATTATAAATGTGGAAAACGAGCGACCGAAGACTTTCGAGGAGAAGCGTTTCCAGACATATACATATGTACGTGCAAGTAAAATCTTTTTGCGCGCAATAATTAATTTTTATCTTAAGTATATCGAGGAACGAAGTAGTAACTACGCTTAGGAGAGATATTACTATAAGGAGAGTATAGGATACGCGCTATTCCGCTCGTGCTACGTATGTGGTTCATGAAAAAATACTTGGGCAAACGTAAGTTGTCTTTGGTCGGTCGTCGCCTTTATTTACATCTTGTCGCTCGTATGGTGAAATCACGCGTACAATACAGTCTTCTATATACGCGCAAGGAAACGAGAACGTTTGAAACTTCTGGTTAAAGGCTTATCCAAAAGTCAGCACGTGACGAAGAAAAATCCATAAAATGGTGTTTTCGAAAATGCATCCATTCAAGTTTTTCCATTGGTTTTCCCGGTGAGTTTTTCGACGCTCACTGTCCGCTCACAAACGTGTCTTTTCCATTCAATTTAAGACGCAAAATGGAACACTGTCGATACCGCACTAATGTGAGGAGATACTCAGTAAAAACACGCGGTGTATCCGCATCAGAGATGGGACTTACAGAAGTTTGCGCGTGTTCCCTGTCAAAAGTACCGTCTAGCAGGTAAGACTGGTCATGAGACTTCAGTATTCGGCCCTGCGATCAGATTAATCATATATATTTTCTCAAATTGTAATCATTTTCGATTATGTTATAACAATCTGATATTTTAGATGCGCGATACACGAAGCGCGAGGGACGACACCGTGTATAAGTGAATTTACTCGGATTCCAAGTGATTTATTGCTATTCAGCAATACTCTGGAAAGGAAAGTACCTTTCTGAGATTGAATGTATGTCGTTCATAACGCTTCGTATTCGCCGAGACCCTTGTTGCGAGACTGATATCGTTTATTTGTACCTGGTCAGGAGGATTTCGTGGCAAACTCGTGCAATATGTCACATGCCATCTCAAGATCGTTCCTGGTGATGCCGAGTGCTCTGATCACGGCATCCTGCGCGAAACCGAGCGCCGTCAATCTTGTGATATGCTCAACATTGACATTCTCGTACGCCGTCGATTCCGGCTTGATTACCGGTCCACCAGCGCCACCGCCACCCGGATCATCTCTCGCTCTCATAAGTGCCGTGAGACGCGCCTTGTTCGCCTCCAGATTGATGTTCTTTACAACGTGTTGACTCGTGCCGCAGATCACAATCGTATTCTCATAATGATGATCTTGACGGATGCCACCTTCCTTGCTAGCCTTCGGTGGTCGAGGTGCTGACAAGGGCGGCGGTACGGGAGGCACGTTATTACTTGGACCCCCGGTTTGACTCGTTGTCGAGCTGGTTGCAGTAGCGCGACATGGCTTTTCTGGCAATGTCGGCGGTGGCTGCGATTGCCGCTGCGGTGTGCCTACCACGTGATTCCCGTGGGATCGTCGTGGATGAACCTTTACCACCGTTGTTGGTGGCACTGGCGGTATCGGCGGCATCGACGATGGCGAAGATGCGCGGTGCAGCATGTCATATCTCGCCTCCGTGTTAACTGCAAACACTGAACATTTTTATCTTGCCTTCCGAAAATCATACCTTCGTGCAATTTGTATCTATATTGCAATAAAGTGACGCTTTCTCTACAATTCTTAATCCGAAAATAGTGATTTCTTAAATATCTAAATGACATCTCTCACCTGGGATATTTTTTTAAATTAAAATTAGTATATAAACAATATATTAATATTATTATTTTCTTATTTATTAGTATTGAGAACATTATGTATGTGGATTTTATCAAAATTTTCTCATGTCTAATATGTGTAAAGTAGAAACTAAACAAATATTAAGAATACACACACACACACACACACACACACACACACAATTTTTTAATAACTATTATATGTATTATAATTTTAATACTAAATATTTCGATAAACAGAATATATACAGGGTGTCTCGTAAAGATCGGAACAACATTTAAGGAGAGATTCTTAAAATTATCTTGAAACGAAAATCTTAATATCAAAATATCGAGGAAAAATATTTTTTTAACATAATAAATATCAATAATTACAAATATCAGTAATTGTATCTTTGCATGCATAATCTTTATATCGATATTTACAAGAGATAATAATTAGCTTTTACTTTTAGCCCTTTGCGTCGTACTATATTCGAACGCGCAAATTTTAGATGGTATAATATAATCGTTAATTTTAAATAATTAGAATTCAAAAATTATTATAATGTCGACATTTTCGGACTCGAATTTTCGTTTCCAAATAATCATAGAAATCTCCCCTTAAGCATTATTCGAGTCTTTATGGGATACCTAGTATATTTTAATAACTATCGTAATAAAAAAGCGTTACATTAATGAAAATGTTAATTTTTTTAGCAGTTAAATAGCTTAAATAGTAATTAGTGAAATAATTAAATAGTTTATTATAAAAGTATTTCTAAAGATTTTTATTATATTTAGTATAATGCTTTCTTATTACAGGTTTTCTCAATGAAGTCGTACATTTACACAGGTTCATAAAAAATAATTATTAAAAAAGAAAAAATATGTTAAACAAAATATAATCATGTAAAATATTTTATAAAAATTCACATTTTTTTGTCGTTGAAGTATAAAAATACTCGAGAGATGATTATTCTCGGATTAAAAATCGTACATACTGTCCCGTTGAACTTATATTATTACTTTTTTTTTTTAAATCTAAGTTAATATTAATGTTGATTAATAACTACATTTATCTGAAGTAATACTGCCATAACAGTATTACTTCAGATAAATGTATCCTTCATCTACACTCTTTTGTTTAACTAACTAATTTATTTTTGTATCGACCGTAAATTGTCTACAAACAATGAAGGAATTAAACGCCTATAACGGTCAAAGCTGGATCAAAGTGCTAATAATAAGTATGAGTGAATTCTTATACACCACATATGTAGCCCCCCTCTTTTGTTTAAGTTTAGTATCTATAGATATGATATTTTTATTACGATCCGTTACTTTTAGTTTAGGTAATACAGATTAAACATTAAAAATTGTCCTGTATACCTTTATTATTTTGCTGAGTATTGTCGGTATAATTTAATATTACTGTAACCGTTGACGGTGGCGGCGGAGCATTTTCCTTCGGTACAGTCAGATGACGTCCGTTTCTAAGGTGATTGTTCGGTGTAGGCGACGGCGAGGGTCTCCTAGGTGGTAAAGGCGGACTTGGAACGATTCTCCGCGGTGGCACCGGCGAATTTGTAGGACTAGAATCATCTTCCTCGTCCGAGACGTCGCATATGAGACCGCAATTGCCATTACATAGCTCCATTATATCCTAAAACATCAGCAACAGGAAAAAAAACTGATTAAACTGACTTTCGTCATATGACTCAAAAAGTACTTACGTTTATATATAT